CTCTTTGCTGGTGACAAACACTACTCATATACTGTTATAAAACTCTCATTTTTTTTTTTTAATGTAACACCATTTTCCTTTAAGGTTTACACTTCATTTATGCACATGATCTTTTAAAATTGTACACAGTTTATAACTGCTGATTTCCGCCATGATCACAGGGTGGGACTGTTTCCTCCTTAGGGAGGACCTGTTTAAGAGGGAAGGTGGCTATGATACAGGCACTGCAATACCTTTAATATAAAATATTTCTGACAGGAAAATGTGTCCCAAGTTAAAGATAACTTCTTTTTCTCTTCTTTTCTTTTATTTAGAGCCCTCTATATTTAGATCCAGTCTTATACAACCGAGAAAATTATGTAAAGTTATATTGATTCACTCATCCTTATAACCCTGAGTACTCACCCTGCGCCAGACACTCAGCTCAGTAATGAGTCTACCTTAGAGTTCTGAATATGAAAATGCACCCAGGGTAAACCTTCTGAACCTGGTGGTTCCATGAATAGGGTGCCATATGGTTTTCTGCCTTAGTAATTTACAAGCTCTGGCCCTCGCCCTGCTAGTCTTACTACTAGTTTATTTTTGGCAGGGAATATGTAGAATCCTCTTTTCTCCAGGGCATAGTCTCCTGTTTCTCCACATATGAAGCCAAGATCCTTACAAAGCCCCAGCTCATCATTTCACTGGGAGGAGGAATCCAAATAAAAACTGGTCAGTTAAGTCAACTTTTATTTAGGTATCAATATCGTAAGACATTACCATGTTACAGATTGAGAACACCAATACTAGGATAAATAGAACACTGAATACATAACTCTTTTAGAAATCACTAAGCATTTGATGATTTAAAAACAGATACAGGATGGGAAGAGGCAGCTCAACAGGCTTTATAAAAGGATAATAACAAGAAAAATATCATTTCAATTCAATATAGCAACCCAAGATTTCTTTTTCTGTCAATATTCAGAAAAAAAGTAAGATTTTTCTTTGCTATAACTTTTTAGTCACCAGTAAGAACAAATATTTGCCTCCTGTCACCAATGAAATACAAGAACTATAATTGATAGAATGAAAATGTTTTTATTGGTAGTTCATTCCTCAATTATTTGAATTTTTCCATAAATTTTCAAAGTGCAATTAGGAATGAGTCATTTATAAGAGCAAGGCAAGACAACAAATGAGAATTCTGAAGTTACAATCTCACTTCCAGGCTCGTGTAGAAGAATATGCATCTCTTTTCAACTGTCCAATAAAAAAAAATCAAGGAAAGAATTAGAACTACAGACTACAAATAAAGTGCTAAGAGTCATCCCACATTTACCTTATTGTAGGAACAGTGCTCCCTGCCTCCTAAATGAAATCAGAATTCTTCTTGCCCATCTGTACATCAAAATAGCCATCTACTTTATTTTAAAATAAAATATTTTCCACCAACACTTGGCTTAATTGCTTTTTAACTTTTTAATTGATTTAACCAAAATCAATACCACAGTTACGGTTTGGGAAACAAATTGGGTGTAATTATTACTAATACCTGAAAGCTGTGGTTTTTAGAATTACAATTTTTGTTTTGTTTTGTTTTGTTTTTGTTGCTGTTCTCATTACCCAGGCTGCAGTGCAGTGGTAGGATCTCGGCTCACTGCAATCTCAACCTGTCGGGTTCAAGCGATTCTCCTGCCTCAGCCTCCCCAGTAGCTGGGATTACAGGCATCTGCCACCACGCCTGGCTAATTTTTTGTAGTTTTAGTAGAGATGGGGTTTCACCATGTTGCCCAGGCTGGTCTCAAACTCCTGACCTCAGGTGATCCACCCACCTTGGGCTCCCATAGTACTGGGATTACAGGTGTGAGCCACTGTGCCTGGCCTAGAATTACAATTTAAACTACCATTTCAGTTTTTGTTTGGGAAAAAAGGAAGTTTATCATTTTCCTGTTCTTCACTCAAAAGGATCCTGAAAAGTTAACTGTCCTCACAGTGAGGCCAGTGTGCTTACTGGATAGTACACAGGCCATGAATTCTCATGGCACCTGCTAGTCAGTCAGTCTTCTATTGAGAAAGCCAGGATTCTGTAGGTGAAAAATCAGCCTATATTCTGGAGATGAAGGAATAGACCAGAAATCGATGTCTGAGCCAAGAGCGGGGCAACAGGGACAGTCCAAATATGATGGTGATTAGCCAGTTTAAACTGATCTTTCCCTCCTTGGGGAGCTGTTTTTGCTATCTGGCGGCATATTTGCTCTATGGGTTATGGTGTTAGGTGTTACGGTAAGAAAGAAAAGCTGATGGAAGTTTCTTTCTCTACCAAAATATAAGAGGAACTGCTTGCCTTGGTGGAACTGCTGAGACTGGTAACTTTGTTGCAAGAGGGCCAGATGTGGTCTTCTTACTGGATCAGATTAATATAGCCAGGAAAACTTGCCGTATAGCTAACACTTTGGCTAATGCATATTTCTGTTTCTATCTATTCAGATCATTAGATCGAATTCCTTTTCAGCCGGCAGGGAAAATTTTTAAATGTCATGGTCTGACTTCAAGGATCCCTTGACTCTTTAGCTCTATGCCATAATCTAAGCTGCAGGCATCCTGGACCATCTCACCTTCCCAAGGTCACACACTGGTCTCCTGTGTTGATGCGCATAATGCTAACCATTTCTGGAGACCAGAAAATGGAAAGGATCCTACATCTTGGTAAGAAATGTTGCTTGACAGGACAGAAGATAAGCCTAGAATACAGTGCTGATTGCTTCAAAGTCCCTAGATGTTCTTAGGTCTAGAGCAGAGGTTGGCAAATTATGGCCTGAAGGCCAAATCCAACCCCTTAGCTGGTTTTGTAAATAGTGTTTGTTTGTTTGTTTGTTTTGAGACACAGTCTCACTCTGTCGCCCAGGCTGGAGTGCAGTGGCATGATCTCAGCTCACTGCAACCTTCACCTCCTGGGTTCAAGTGATTCTTCTGCCTCAGCCTCCCAAGTAGCTGAGATTACAGACATGCACTGTCATGCCCAGCTAATTATTTTGTATTTTTAGTAGAGATGGAATTTCACCATGTTGGCAAGGCTGGTCTCAAACTCCTGACCTCAGGTGATCCATCCACCTTGGACTCCCAAAGTACAGGGATTACAGGCACGAGCCACTGCACCTGACCTGTAAATTAAGTCTTATTGGAACACAGCCATAACCATTCGCTTATGTATTGTTTATGGCTGCTTTCCTGCTACTGGGTCAGACTATGGATGGCATGCAAAGCTGAAAATACTTACTCTGGTCCTTCATAGAAAAGTTTGTGAAGCCCTGATCTACAGCACGTTGGTATAATCCCTTGAAAATGAAGGACAGCTTGCTGACCCCTAGCACCTCCTACATATTAGAGATGGCATATGGTTATCACACTTCTGGGTAAACCGCAAAGCTATCAGTTACAAGTAAAATCTAGAGTACGAGAAATCTTTCTGAGTGGGACTGTAGTATGGTTCAGCTGCCTGTGATCCTGGGGCATTAGGATGCTGCATATAGCTTGAGGTATGTCTCAATATAATCAGAGCATGCCCCAAATTCTGGAGCAAGGCCAGCCTCCTTTATGCAGGTATCATTCTTTCAGTAGACAATTCCCAGCTGGTCATGAGGTTCTGACAGATGGCAAATGTCTGACACCAAGGTAAACCAGGTGACCATGTCATTAACCCATCTTGAACAATTTTACCTGACCTGCCTAGCCACAAATACAGCATGCCTTCAACCAATAATGCAGCATGTAAATGCAAGACTGGGCTTACGGAGGTTCCAAAGGCACAAAATACCCAAATAGGCTAATGACAGTCCTTATCCAGTAGCCCTTCACTTAATTCACTACCTTTCTCCCTCACCCAGGACTATGCCTTCATGGAGGGGTGTCACTAATATATCAGCTAACAAATTTGAGAGGCCTGGACTTGGTTCACTTTTGATAGTAATAGCCAATAATGAGCTACAAAAGCACTGTAGCTCCCCGCGTCAGGAACTGTTTTGAAGGACAATATGAAGGAAAGTGTTCTGACTTGACAGAATTCCAAGCAGTTCATTTTACTGTCCATTATACCTTTTAGGAGAAAAACCCTAAGGTCAGTTTTTATCAAGTCTTGGGCAGTTGCTAATGGTTTATCCAGATGGATGTAGGCTTGAAATAATGCTCTGGTCTCATCAGGTATCTATTCAACCAAAAATGGGTTTGCAAAATGATGAAAAAGATCATTATGTGTTTGGATTCAGCACCACTTATGGATATCACCGTGCAAGTTTGGGGTGTTATCCTTTAGGATTGTGGTATTTGCTCTTCCCCAGCAATACATGTAGTACCAGAAAAATATGGTATTCTTTCTCCCACAGCCAAAACATACAGGTCTAAGACACAAGGAGTAGAAACGTGAGTGGACTCTCTCAAGGTTATAAGTAACGACCCACTGAAAAAAGTTTTATTCCTATCCCTATGACTCAAGCTCTCCTGACCCAGTTGGTCGGCATAATATGTAATGAAAAGTTCACTAAACTTGGTGATCATTTCTAGATGGTTCAAATAAAGGTCATTTAATCTTTTTTCTTTGTGGTTTTCTAGGGTTTCCAAATATTCTAGAATGACTATGTATTATTTCATATTAAAATTACTAACCGGAAAAAATAAACAAAATATAGCCCCAGAAGCAGATTTTCATTTAAAATGGGACATAAGGAAGAAATCGTAATGAATGCAAGGAGCTGCTGACAAAGAGAGGTGGGGAAGAACTAGTTTCCCTTTTTATTTGAGAGTGGTTACCATGCAACATTCCAGAACAATTAAGGAAACATTTGGAATCTAAGCCTGATTTCCTTATCTGTAAAATGATCTATGTATCTCCTAAGGTATGTGAAAGAACACCATAAACTATCATCTCTGAAGGTATGAGTTATTACCACTTGTGGTTGGTGAGTGTCTTATGTGTTCAGTGCTTTCAAAGACAACATCAAAAAACAAGAATAAAAATCAGTTACCTTTGGGTTAAAATATCTACAAGACTGTGGTTGAGAGCCTCCAAATAGGGCTATGCGGTAGTCATGTTTCTTTCTTCTGGGTCTTGTGCCATCTACGAGTTCTTCTCGGTCCTCTGGAGACAGTAGATGGTACCTCATTCCACCTGTAGTAAAATACATGGCAACTCTTCAAGAACTTCAGGCACTAACCAGTGCTTTGAAAAGGAAATACCAAGACATAACAGGGCCTTTATTTCAGTAACTTTCTTTTATCATATCTTTATAGCATTTGAGGAAAGTGAGGGAGAAGAGGCAGGAGAAATGTATAAGGATCCGAGTACTAACCAATTCATTATTCTCAGCAATCACCATTATTCTAAGACTGCCCCACCCAGCCAGCAACTTACTATGTACCAGTGAATTATCTGGCTCCTCAGGCAACAGCTGTCAAAATAATATCCACATCTCCTAACCCAGTGGTTCTTCATCTTTACATTAGAATTACCTAGAAAATCTCTGAAACTATTTATACCTGGGACCTACCACAGACCAATTAAATAAAAATCTCTAGATAGAGTCTAGGAATTGGTATTTTAGAGGGCTTCTTAAATCTTGCCACTTAAAATGTGGTTCAAAGGCCAGCGGCTTCAGCATTTGGGAGTTTGTTAGAAATGCTGAACCCCAGGCCCTATCCCAGACCTACAGAATCAGCATCTGCATATTTAACACCCCACAGTAATTAGGATGTACATAACACTTTGAGAAGCACTGTCTTAGATGACTCTAAAATGCAATAAGGTCAGAACTACTGTGATCTATCACGATCCTTTTCCTTCGGCAATTCCTTAATTTTGTCAATGCCACTTAACAATCAAAAACTGTTAAAGTATCATTTCAAATCAGTGTGGGAAAGGAGGATTGTCTATGTTAGACAACAATATGAAGAAAGAAATTATACCCCTACCTCATATTTCACTCTCAATTCCAAATCAATAAAAATCTGAATATATAAACTCATAAATGCAGTAAAAGCTTGGAAAAAAAAAACAGGCCCAGAATGGAGAAGCCTAAGAATGACCAAAAATATAGGAGCCAGAAAAAAATGTTCACACTTAACTATATAAAACTTTAAGTTAAAATAGTGCACAGCAAAAAAAAAAAAAAAAAAAAAAGGCAGAATTAAAAGATGACAAACTAGAAAAATATTTATAAATAATAAAAAATACTATTAAAAGATACTTTATTAAGAATTACCAGCAACTTAACCAACAATTAGGTGAAGTATCTGAATATAGTTCACAGAAAAAGAACTATAACTCTTAAACATGTGAAAAGATGCTTGAGTGCTCTAGTTAGAAAACAACAAATTAAAACCATACTTTTTTCACTTATCAGATTGGCCAAGATCAAACTGCCTGGATCACAGGGTATAAAATGGTTGTATCGGGGAGGCAGCACTCTTCCACTGATGGTGGGGATGGATGGGTATAACCATGGGAAGGGTGATATAGCCCAATCTACAAAAATTATAAATGTATACACCCTTTAATCCACGAATTCCCCTTTCTAGGAGTTTATCAACTGTTAGGGAAGTGGTTAAAAAATTATGCTATGCCTATACAATAGAACATTATATGTGGCTGTTAAGATGAGAAAGATTAGTATGTACACATGGAATGATCTCCAATAAATAATACGGAATGAAAAAAGCAAGATGTAGGACAGCACACAGAGTGCAATACTGTTTGTGTTAAAAATGTATATTTTAATGTAAATATACAAATTTTATACATGTAATTTATACATGGATATATAAGTAAATGACTGTATGTACAGTCTCAAGACTACCTCTGGAAGGGTATATACAAGATAATAATGTTAATCTCCAGGGTAAGAGAATGAGAGAGTAGTGAAAAGGGATATCAGGGAGACTTACTTTTCACTATGTATCCTTTTAATATCTTTTGAACTGTACAATATTATCAATCTAAAGATAAAATAAGGCCATTTTATTTTATTTTTTTCTAGAGCCAGGGTCTTGCTCTGTCACTTGGGCCGGAGTGCAGTGGTGCCCTAACAACTCACTATAACCTCAAACCCTTAGGCTCAGCAGTCCTCTCACATCAGCCTCCCAAAGCACTGGGATTGCAGGCCTGAGCCAGCATGCCTGGCCCAAAAATTCCTGACACATGCAAAACTTTTCTATAAATGAGGCTATGGTTTGGGTCTTTATTAAAAGGATAGAGAATGGAAACTCATTTGGAATAGTTGGTGAGTTAATGAACATCTTTATCAATATTTATCATTTCTTCCATTTCAGAGTTTGAGTAGAAGCTCTTTTGTATTCAAACAGCTGGATATTTCAGAGGCCAAGGCAAGCTGATGCATGCTCTAGGTCAGGGATCTGAAAACTTTTTCTGTAAAGGGACAAATAGACTTTGTAGGCCACATATGGTTTCTGTGGAATATTCTTTGTTTGTTTTATAATCCTTTACAATTGTAAAAACCACATTAGCTCAAGTCTGCATTTAGCCTGTGGGTAGTTCTTGAAGTGTGGTTCCATAACCACCAGCATCAGTATCATCTGGAAGTGTGTTGAAAATCCTAATTATTGAACACTAGCCCAGACCTTCTGAATCAGAAACGCTAGGGAGGGGTTTGAGAGCCACTGCTCTAGGATGGTTCCACACAGGTTGAAAGTGGACTGTGTAGTCTATGAATGCAAAATATTCCCAGTAAGAAAAAGGTAGGAGGGAAGGAGAGAGACAAGAGGGAACTGTTTCCACCAATAGGCCATGGGGTAAAAGTGGCTGACAGTGGCCAACTGTGCTGACACACTGGAGGAGGCATGCCTTTGGATCCTTCACTGATGGGCCTTTTTTTCCCTCCCCAAGAATAGGGCTGGGGGACACTTTGGTAACTTTCTCTGAGGAGCTCATTGCTGCTTAGGCTTATTCCTTCGTGAGTTATTCTTTCCAGATTTAGGTATAATCATTTGGAAATTTTCAGGGAAGTTGGCCTGGCCCTTTGTGGTGGCTTTGACTGTGCACTTCATTTGTATTTTGTAATTCGTTTTCTTTTAGATGTAACTTTTTTAGCTTAGTTTTATTCTATTTTTCAATCATCTTCTGTTTTTCTTCTACTCTGGAAAGGCAACAAAGTCAGGCGGTAGGAAGACAACTGATGATTTGAAAAAGAGAGGCTGGAAGGCTTTCCCCAATTTAGCTCTGCCCAGGCCCCAAAGCTTGGAAGCATCTCAGCTGCTTGTGCTTAGTCAAGGAGTAATAGAACAATCCACTATTATTTATTTTAAAAAAGGAAAAGAAAAAAATTGTAATAAGCCTAGTAAGTTAAACTAAACAACAAAGCATCCTGCTCAAGTGTCTAATTCTCACACTTGGTTGACTTTCTGAAATAATGCCGCTATCCTGTTTCTTAATCAGTTCAGAATCCATGTAAGAACTAAACACTAGATTCTGAGACTGGCTGGTTGTTTTAAACAGCTCAGACCATGTATGAAGACATAGAAATTCTAAGGCCAGGAAAATAACACACAGTTTGGAAACTGGGCATAACAAAAAACCTGATACTTGCATGTACAAAATCTAAGAGACAAAAGTCCTAATGTAAAGGCATCTTCTTGGTCCTGATTTTCTTTCCTCTCTGCATTTAAAGAGACAAGTGGCCACCTATGTTCTACCTTCTAAACACTCTTTTACACTATGGTTTTCCAAGACACCAGGCTTTGGTTCAAGTAGCTTTGGGGCTGCTCTTTTATTATTTTTTTTCATTTTCTTATACCCCTTAAATATAGGTATTTGTAAGGATGTGTCCTTGACGCACACTTCTTCTCCTTTTCCCTTGACAACCTCAACTAGGTTCAAGCACACTTAGTCTTTTTCAGTTTTGTTTTCATTTAATTAAAAAAATACGCCTTTGCCACTTATGAAAATTTTCATTATTAGATATTCATGTAAAATATTTTTAGTAACTATGGAACATTACATTGTATGGATATATTTTTTTCCAATCTAGGGACGACATTGGGTCTACTTACCTAAAACCACATCATACTAGTAAGCAGTAGCTATGTGATAAGTCTAATGAAAATACTGGAAACCTAGAAATTGTTTTTATTGGCTGTATGAGGCAGAGAAGATAAAGTCTTGGATCTGCTCAAGATAAGGAGTTGGAACTGAGATAAAGCTGGATCACTTGGATTGGTGGTTATACTTTTAGTGAAAGGATAGGCTAAGAAAAATATCTGCCCGATGGCAGAAGAAGCAGCAATAATTTTGTTTCAACTTCAGCTTCAGGTAAAGTGTCCCTCTTTTGAGAATTTATATTGACAGCCCTATCTTCATGCAGCTTTGAGGTTTGAATTTACCCCACCTGCAAGTGTAGGAAACCATAAGCCAAAGAAAACTCAAAGTAGTCCTGGATTGTTGTGCCCTATAGAACTCGGCAAAAGCAAACACCATTCTCCTATTGAGGAGAAGAGAGAAGACATTCCAGAGAACAGAGAAGACACTACCTAAGCCTCCCAATATTCCTGGTGATTAAAGTCAATCAAATATAAGCATACCATTCAAAATTACAAAACATATAAGGAATTAAGCCACCAGAAATAAGTCAATAGAACCAACAAATAGCAGCATTGTTCTTCAGGGACTTCAGATACTGGCATTATGAAACATAGAACATAAAATAACATTTGAAAAGTTTAAGGTAAAGCAAGAACTGAAAACACAAGCAAGGAAAAAAGACCATAAAAAATGACCAGGGTAGGCCAGCCTTGGTGGCTCACAACTGTAATCCCAGCACTTTGGGAAGCAAAGGTGGGTGGATCTATTGAGGCCAGGAGTTTCAGACTAGCCTGACCAGCATGGCGAAACCCTGTCTCTGCTAAAAATACAAAAATTATCTGGATGTAGTGGAGCACCTGTAATCCCAGCTACTTGGGAGGCTGAGGCATGAGAATCACTTGAACCCAGGAGGTGGAGGTTGCAGCAAGCCGAGATTGTGCCCCTGCACTCCAGCCTGGAAGCCAGCGAGACTCTGTCTCAAAAAAAAAAAAAAAAAAAAAAAGCCAGGCTAATAAATAATACATACATAAAAGGAAAAAGATACAATTTACAATGACAACAAAAGTATCTGAAATAAATTAAGAATGCAGAACTCATAAGAAAATTACAAATTCTCCAGAGACACATGGCAATTTAAATGAAGGATAACAATAATTAAAAGGTATTAGAATGAAGTAGAAGAGAAACTGTGTGTATGTGTACCTACACTACACTTGATCAGACTGAGAAGTGATGTGTGTACATATAGATATATGGAAATTTAGTTTAACGGTTTCAAATCAGTGGGAAAAAATGAATTATTCAATAATGGTATTGAACCATCTTATCAGATATATTAGGAAAAATATTATTTATTTCACACCCAAATGATTTCAGTAAGATATACCCTTAAAATTTTTTTTAAAAAGAGAAGAAGAACGCTATAAGTGATAAATGCACATGAGGAAAATTTAGTTAATTTTTAAAAATCACCTTGGAATAGGGAAGACCTTTCCAACCACATCACAAAGGAAAAGACTAGTTCAGACTTAATATAAAAAACAACATGAGATCAGACTCGCCATTTTAAGATCTTTTTTCTCCTCTTCTCTCAAAAGCTATCCCAAACGACAAGGTAACAAGAAACAAACACAAACTCTATCTTTGATAATACTAAGAGACTTGCAACCCCAAAACACAATTAATGAAGACAGCTAGCAGATGGAGTGTCTGTTAAACCTAAATGGTTGTGCCAGGAGACACCAATGAAAAGCAAGCCAAATTACCCTGCAGAACCCTGAAAAGGCTCATAATTGGAGATACTAAGTACCTAGAAGTGCAGGTAGGGATGAAAACAAGATAACTCTAAAATACTGAACAAACGACAATTGAACTTCCAGCTCTCCTTCCCCTGTTGCACAGTCAGGTACCCACTATACCTGTACCACTGTAGGACACAGGACTGGTTTCTGAAAATACTGAATGAGAAATGTTCCAGACTCAGGGTAGAGCATAGAAAAGGATGGGAGTCTGAAAACATGGATTAAGGCCAGGCACTGTGGTTCACGCCTATAATCCCAGCATCTTGGGAGGCCTCAGCAGGAGGGTTACTCGAGCCCAGAAGTTTGAGACCAGCCTGAACAAGATAGTGAGACATCATCTTGACAAAAAAATACAAAAATCAGCTGGCACAGTGGTGTGCACCTGTAGTCCCAGCTACTTGGGAGGCTGAGGTGAAAGGATCACTTGTGCCGGGGAGGACAAGGCTGCAATGAGTTGTGATTTTACCACTGTACTCCAGCCTGGGAGACTCTGTTTCAAAAAAAAGAAAAAGAAAAATATGGATTAAGTGAACGTCTGAATAGCAAAATATTATCTCATCCAGTTCCTAAATGCCTACACCCAGCTTATAGTTCCCTGAGACAATATCTACAAATATTGACATCTGGGGGTCCCCAATTAAAAAACTGAACAGCTACTCTGATTATGCTACAGTTTAGCTCAAGAACTGAGATGCCCAATCATACATACAGCATGATCTATCAGTTTTGTAATAACTCACTCTCATATGATATAAAACCAAATATTTAAGAAAAGCTTCCAATAAAAAAAGGAAAAGAAAACTCAAAATATAGAAAATACAGACAACATAAGAAAACCTCAAAAGCACTACAAAGACTACTTTAGAGTGATAAGATATTGCAGCCATGAAATAATAGAGAATAAAAACTCCAGAAATTAAAAATTATAGCTGAAATAAAAGGGTTGAAAAAAATCAAGCTATCTCTCAGAAAAAGGCCAAGAGACATAAGATGGATAATAAAAAAGAAAGAAAGAAAGAAAGAAAAGAAAGAAAGAAAGAAAAGAAAGAAAGAAAGGGAAAGAAAGAAAAGGATCAGATTGGCACTAGACTTCTCAAAATAACATTGGAAGCTAGAAGATAAATTCTACCTGAAAATGATTTTCAGCATAATTCTATCTTCAGTTTAACTTCCTTCCTTCCTTCCTTCCTTCCTTCCTTCCTTCCTTCCTTCCTTCCTTCCTTCCTTCCTTCCTCTCCTTCCTCTCCTTCCTCTCCTTCCTCTCCTTCCTTCCTTCCCTCCCTCCCTCCCTTCTTTCTCTCTTTCTTTTTTTCTCTCTCTCTCTTTCTTTCTTTTTCTTTCTTCCTTTCTTTCGACAAGGTCTTACTCTGTTGCCCAGGCTGGAGTAATGCAGTGGCAGGATCAGAGCTCACTGTAACCTCAAACTCCTGGGCTCAAGCAATCCTCCTGCCTCAGCCACTGGAGTAGTTGGGACCACAGGCACATGCCTCCACTCCCGGCTACGGTTTTTTGTTGTTGTTGTTGTTGTTTTTTTGTAGAGTTGGAATCTTGCTATGTTGCCCAGGTGAATCTCAAACTCCTGACTTCAAGCAATCTTCCTGTCTTGACCTCCCAAAGTGCTGTGATTAGAGGTGTGGCCTACTGTGCCCGGCCTCCTTCAATATTTTATGATAAAATAAATATATGAGATTTGTCAAGTTTCCAAATATTTACTGATCATATACTCTATCAGGAACCTTTTAGAGGATATATTGCATCAAACAAAAAGAATTAAGATAGAGGACAGCCAGGATCCAAGAAGACAACAGATCTAACAGGAGAGGAGTGAAATGGCTTCCCAGGATTATGGAGACGGAAGCCCCAGGACAAGAACTGTGTCTCAGGTCTAGAGAGCAAACAGTTCATATTGGAATAGGCAGAAGGAAGGTTCTACAAGGCATGTTTCCAAGAAAGAAAAGCAACAGATTGTTTAATTGCATAGACAATTTTATTAAGTGGCATTTTACAAAGGTGTTGAGGGGTTGGGACTTAGCTGGCAAACAAGAAAATCGAAGCAAATGAAAACAATGTGGCAATTTTTATCTCTGGGCCAAAAAAGAAAAAAAATATATACTGTTGAAGAAAGAAAACGTGATCACAGTAAACTACTTGGCTAAGTAAAATAAAAAAGGAACACTAGAAACAAAACTGCATGAAAGTTATTGTATATAAGAATAGAAAAAGCATAAGTAATTTGTACTTTCTATGATATACACCCCTATAAAATAAGGGCTGAGGCCAAGTCCCTTCCAAGTGTACAGTTCAGAAACCCAAGGGATTAACTATCTAGAAGAGCAAAATCTTGACTGTTTCTCCCTGGCTACTGAGTCTAATCCATTCTAAAGGGTTTCAAGCCCATGAGAAACTGGCTACATGATCAGGTTACAAATGGATATTAAGGCAACTTACTTATCACCATCTTAAGGCATTCAGGATTGTCTTGAATAAGTGGTTCAGCTTGTACCGTTTTACTTAAGAAATTCTTTGATATAAGAGGAAACCTGACTTTAGCAAGGATATCAACCATAAATGGCTGGCGATTAGGTTCATCGTATTTCAACCACCTGACTGCAGCATCATAAACCTAAGGGGGAAAAACAGCACAGTAAAGTTCTTAGAAGACAGCAACATTTCCAATTACCTATGTTTACTCTCACATTGAAGGGAGAGACCCTCATAAGGAGACAACCACTTATTCCTAATATTTTTCATCTCTGGACACTTGCTGGTACTTCAGAACAGTTTACTTACTGCTCTAGTGAGTCTTGTAGGTAATATATTTTTTAGAACTAACTACTATTATGTAATGTAATGACAGTGAGGATGTTGAATTTATGATTTAAAAAAAAAAGATAGCTTCATTTTCAGACAAAGACATGATATACATTGCACTAAAAAAAAAAAAAAAACTGCAGTCAACAAAAGTTTCAACATACCCTCATTTAGTTTAGTACCAGGAAAACAGGTTAATTTCTCAAGAGGCCGTCCATTCCAGGAGATATGAAGGTCACCCATGATTTTATTTCAATATTATATTCCTGCATTATGAATGGATAGACTTATCTGCTTTTTAGAAACTTTAAGATATGAAGAATTCTATACTTAAAAATAAATTACAGGATATTTAAAAGAATTATTTTCCAAAATAATACTGTTGCTGCACTTAACTGCACTGAACAAGTCCAAGTTCCTCAACATAATTTAACCTACAAATCATTAAACATCCCCCAAAACATCAATTGCTTCATATACACACACATCTCCCATACCCACTAAATTAATTTTGGGGTGATATTTGAAATTAATTTTGGGGTGATTTAATAAGGCCCAACTTCTGATCTCTTTCTGAGTTAATTTTTTATGGGAATTGGTGTTTTTTTAAACAAATTTTTTATTTTAGAATAGTTTTAGATTTATAGAAAAGTTGCAGCGATAGCACAAAGAGTTCTCATATACCCTGCCCCAGTTGTTAAGGTGTTGCATTAGTATGGTATATTTGTTACAACTAATGAACCAATATTGACACATTAACTAAATTTCATTTTTTTTTTGGATTTCTTTAGTTTTTATCTAGTGTTATTTTTCTGTTCCACAATACTATAAAGGATACCACATTACATGTAGTCATTAAACCTTAGAATCTTCTAGACTGTGACAATTTTTCAGCCTTTCCTTGTTTTTGACAACCTTGACAGTTTTGAGTTCTGGTCAGGTATTTTGTTGAGAATGTCCTTCAATCTGAGTTTGTCTGATGTGTTACTTATTAGACTGAGGTTACGGTTTTTTAGGAGGATGATCATAGAGGTGAATGACATTTTCATTACATCAAGTGTGCATACTAATCATCATGACATCACTGATGATGCTAATGCTGACCACCTGTAGGTAATGCTCGTCACGTTTCTCCAGTCTAACATTACTTGTTATTCCTTTTCCATACTGCATATAAGTCAACCAATTTGAGCATGGAAGTAAATTTTTTCTATTTACCTAGTGAGGTCCTCCAGGTCTAACCTGTTAACTTGCAAATTGATACCCTGGGCCACGAAGAAGACTGGGCAAAAGAACATTGCTAAGTGCCAATTTTTGTTTTTAGAACAAAAGCAACTTAAAACATATGATCTTTTTTCTTTTTTTTTGAGACTGCGTCTCGCTCTGTCGCCCAGGCTGGAATGCAGTGGCCGGATCTCAGCGCTCACTGCAAGCTCCGCCTCCTGGGTTTACACCATTCTCCTGCCTCAGCCTCCCGAGTAGCTGGGACTACAGGCGCCCGCCACCTCGCCCGGCTAGTTTTTTGTATTTTTTAGTAGAGACGGGGTTTCATCGGGTTAGCCAGGATGGTCTCGATCTCCTGACCTCGTGATCCGCCCGTCTCGGCCTCCCAAAGTGCTGGGATTACAGGCTTGAGCCACCGCGCCCGGCCTAAAACATATGATCTTACAGTACCTACATTAGTTTTCTATTGCTGCTGTAACAAATTACCACAAACTTAGTGGCTTAAAATACAGAGAAGCATGTGGGGCTGAAAACAGAGATTGAGTCTGCATATTAAAGTATTCCCACAGCCAGGCGTGGTGGCTGACACCTGTAATTCCAGCACTTTGGGAGGCTGAGGTGGGCAGGTCACCTGTTTGAGACCAACCTGGCCAACTTGGTGAAACTCCATCTCAATTAGCAGGGTGTGATGGCACATGCCTATAATCCCAGCTACTTGGGAGGCTGAGGCATGAGAATCACTTGAACCCGGGAGGTAGAGATTGCAGTGAGCTGAGATCGCACCACCGCACTCCAGCCTGGGCAACAGAGTGAGACTGCATCTCAAAAAAATAAATAAGGCTGGGTACGGTGGCTCACGCCTGTAATCCCAGCACTTTGGGAGGCCGAGGCGGGCAGATCACGAGGTCAGGAGATTGAGACCATCCTGGCTGACATGGTGAAACCCTGGCTCTACTAAAGAATACAAAAAATTAGCTGGGCTTGGTGGTGGATGCCTGTAGTCCCAGCTACTTGGGAGGCTGAGGCAGAAGAATGGCGTGAACTCAGGAGGTGGAGCTTGCAGTGGGTTGAGATCATGCCAGTGCACTCCAGCCTGGCCAACTCCATCTCAAAAAATAACATACATACATACATACATATGTACATACATGAAATAAAGTGTTCCCCCACCCAGCTCCCAAATGACTGCACCCAGCTTACACTTCTGACAGTTTATCTGATAATTCTATAGGTCAGAGTCCAAAATGGGTCACAGTGGACTAAAACCAATGTGTCTGCCCGGAGACGCTATAGAAGAAACCATTTCCTTGCCATAGAAGAAACCATTTCCTTGCCTTTTTCAGCATCTTGCAGCTGCCTGCATTCCTTGGCTTATGGTCCCCTTCCCCCTTCAAAGACAGCAATGACCAGTCAAGTCTTTCTCATATTGCACCACTTGATGCTGCCTTCTTTTGCATCCCTTTTCCAAATTTAAGGATCTTTATGATTACACTGGACCCATTTGGATAATTTCATCTCAAAATCCTTGACTTAGTCACATATGCAAAGTCCTATCTGCCACAAAGGTGTATTCCAGATGCTGGGGATTGGGAAGTGGACATCTTTGGGGAAGGCATTGTTCTGCCTACCATGGTACCCAATGGTTTTATCTCTATGAAGTGACCTATTTCTCAAACAGCCAGCCTGGCAAGCACCTAAGATTGCAATACTCTGTTTAGTGTAAAGAACATATTCTTTCCTAATATGACTCTTTCCCTTGTCATGTGTCCAAACATGAGTTATAAGAAACCAATAAAGACATTTTTTATTAAGAAAAATGTGAGAAGGCAATTTAGTCACCTGATCCTCTGCTCTCACAGTCAGAGTGTCCTGGTTGAGAAGATGTGTTACTCGCTTGACATCAAGTTGAAGAAATTCATCAGTTTTGTAAACTTCAGTAAAATGCTGATGAATAAAGTCATCTGCAGTTGCTTTCAATTCAGGACAGTCTAGACACTCTGCTAGCACACTTATACCTAAATACATAAAGAAAATAAAAGAATAGAAAATCATTTTTAGAAAAACCAAGTATACATTTAAGATGAAGCATGACTTCAGGAAAATCAGTTGAATAAATTTCATAAATCTGGATCCTTTTCTGTTTCATTGATTTGTCTATTCTTGTACCAATACTATACTGTCTTATAAAAGACTGTTTTGTTTTTTTTTTTTGAGATAAAAGACTGTTTTTTTTTTTTTTTGAGACAGAGTCTCACCCACCTGGAGTGCAGTGCTGTGATCTCGGCTCACTGCAAGCTCCACCTCCCAGGTTCATGCCATTCTCCAGCCTCAGCCTCCTGAGTAGCTGGGACTACAGGCACCCGACACCATGCCCGGCTAATTTTTTTTTGTATTTTTAGTAGAGATGGGGTTTCACCATGTTAGCCAGGATGGTCTCGATATCCTGACCTCGTGATCTGCCTGCCTAGGCCTCCCAAAGTGCTGGGATTACAGGTGTGAGCCACCATGCCCTGCTGGTTTTTATATTCTGTAGGAGAAGCCCCCTTCAATGATTTTTCAAAGTTTTCTTGGCTATTGTTAGACATTTTCCCTTGCAGACAAATTTTAAAATAAGCTTATCACATTCTACTTTACAAAATCTCCATGTGATACTAATCAGAATTGCACTGAACTTTTGGATTACTTTGGGACAACTTCTGCAGCACGGAGGAGCTCCACTTAAAAACATGACATACATCAAATTTATTCAGGTATAAACTTTTATGTCAGGAGTCTGCAAAGTACTGTTTATGTGCAAAATCTAGCCCATAGCCTGTTTTGTAGGGTCTGCAGCTAATAATAGCTTTTACATTTTTTTGAAAGGTTAAAAAAAAAAAAAAAAAAGAGGAGGCGAGAAGGGGAAGTGAAGACGGAAAGGAAAGGAGAAGAGATAAGGACCACATGTGGTCCATAAAGCCTAAAATATTTTCTCTTCTGGTCCTTTACAGGAAAAGTCGGCTCCCTCTTCTATATGAAACTATGAATTATTTATTTATTTATTTATTTATTTATTTATTTATTTATTTATTTTTGTTGTTGTTGTTGTTGTTGTTTGTTTATTTTGGGGGAGGGTTTATTTATTTATTTATTTATTTATTTATTTATTTATTTATTTATTTTGAGAGGGAGTCTCGCTCTGTCGCCCAGGCTGGAGTGCAGTGGCGCGATCTCAGCTCACTGCAAGCTCCGCCTCCTGGGTTCACGCCATTCTCCTGCCTCAGCCTCCTGAGCAGCTGGAACTACAGGCACCCACCACCACGCCTGGCTAATTTTTTATGTATTTTTAGTAGAGACGGGGTTTCACCGTGTTAGCCAGGATGGTCTCGATCTCCTGACCTTGTGATCCGCCCTCCTCGGCCTCCCAAAGTGCTGGGATTACAGGCGTGAGCCACCGCGCCCGGCCGTTACTAGATTTCTTGACATTGAAATGATTGAACCATTGTGTCACTTTTAAAGTAAATTCTAGCTGGTCACAAAGTATTATTATTTTTAAAATAAACTTCATTTTTTCAGAGCAGTTTTAGGTTTACAGCAAAACTGAAGAAACATTACAGAGTTCCCATGTCCCTGTTGTCACCACACATGCATAACCTTTCCCACTATCACCATTCCACACGAGGGGTATTCTTGAATTTTTTTTTTTTTTTTAGCATCAATAAACGTTTTTAAATGAAACTAAAATGTTATATGTGTTTGTACACATACATGTATACATACGCACACACTTTCTTCAACCAATGTTGGTATTATGGTAACCTTACCCTAGGAAAATGAACTGGCAAGTTTTCTACCCTTTCTAGAGATTTAGAACAATTTAAATAACATAAGCATTAATCTATTCTTTGAAAGGTTGATAGAATTAACCCACGAAGCCTTCAAGCCTGGAGCACTAATTAGAAATACATCTTCATGGTGGCTCATGCTTGTAATCCCAGCACTTTGGGAGGCCTAGGAGGGTGGATCACTTGAGGTCAGGAGTTCGAGACCGGCCTGGCCAACATGGTGAAACCCCATCTCTACTACTAAAAATACAAAAATCAGCTTAGTGTGGTGGTGCTCATCTGTAATCCCAGCTACTCAGGAGGCTGAGGCAGGAGAATTGCTTGAACCCGGGTGGCAGAGGCTGCATCAGCTGAGATTGGGTCACTGCACTCCAATTGGGGTGACAAAGTGAGACTCTGTCTCAAAAAGATAAAAGAAATACATCTTTACTTTTTTTATTGTTTCTGAGGTTACCAGCTTCAGGTTTTATAACTTTTTTTTGTCTTTCTTTCTTTTTACAGGCTCATGCCTGTAATCCCAGCATTTTAGGAGTCACTGTGCCTGGCCCAAAATTGTCTTAAAAAGCATAAAATCTGTCCAGGCATGGTGGCTCATGCCTGTAATCCCAGCAATTTAGGAAGATGAGGTGGGCAGCTCACTTGAGGTCAGGAGTTCGAGACCAGCCTGGCCAACATGGTGAAACCCTATCTCTGCCCAAAATACAAAAATTAGCCGGGCATGCTGGTAGGTGCTTGTAATCCCAGCTACTCAGGAGGCTGAGGCAGGAGGATCACTTGAACCAGGGAGGCGAAGGTTGCAGTGAGATGAGATCACACCACTGCACTCCAGCCTGGGCGACAGAGTGAGACTGTCAAAAAAAAAAAAAAAAGAGACAATTTTGGTCACTGTCTTTTGCTTTCATATCTATAGTTCTAATTCCTGATGCTGTTCTTTGATCTTTTCTTGATAAGACTTGTTAAGTCCGAGGCTATTTTGTACCGTATTTTGAAATACTTAGCTTTAGTTTTTCTGACTAAGTCTATAGTCTATTAGTTTTATTTCTCTACTTTATTACTTTATATTTTCTTTTCTTTTTTTGAGATGTAGTCTCACTCACTCTGTCGCTTAGGCTGGAGTGCAATGGCGCAATCTTGGCTCACTGCAACCTCCCCCTCTGGAGTTCAAGTGATTCTCCTGCCTCAGCCTCCTGCATAGCTGGGAATACAGGCACAAACCACCATGCCTGGTTAATTTTTGTATTTTTAGTAGAGATGCGGTTTCACCATGTTGGCCAGACTGGTTTCGAACTCCTGACTTCAGGTGATCCACCCACCTCGGCCTCCCAAAGCGCTGGGATAACAGGTGTGAGACACTGCGCCTGGCCTAATTTATATTTTAAATCATATTTTTTTCTACTTTCATTAGGTGTTTACAAATTATTTTTCTCTACCTCTCTGAATAGGATACATAAGTCAAGAAAGAATAAAAATAAATACATTTATTTGGAAAAAATTTAAGACTACAAATTTTCTTCTAAGAAATACTTTGGTTATATTCTAAAGATTTCAGTTTATTGTGTGCTTATTGCCATGTTTCTATATAGCCTATAAGTTTACCTTTAGTATCTCTAAAAAATAATTTTCTAAATAATTCTTCGGTTAAATTTTCAAGTGTTCAGAATGGGGCAGGAGAGAAGAGTTGTCCTTCCATAGTTAATTTCTAGTTTTACTGCACTATAATCAGGGGATGTGGCCTGTGTCTCCTCTTTTTTAGGTGCTCCAGCTTTTCTGTGGCTGGTGATCAGTACTTGTAAATACTCCAAGGGTATCTGAAAACAATCTGTGTTCTCTGATGACTAAGTAAAACATTCTGTGTTATCTAGCTGAACAAGTTTGTATTATTCAAATCCTTATTGTTTCTAAAATCTGACTTGAGATTTCTGGGCAATGCTATGAGTTACTCACTAGCCATTCCATAAATTCTCTTTCTGTGTAAAGCAGCAACATTTGGTTTATTTTGCTTGCAAGTAAGAAAGCTAACCAGTACATCTTTATCTTGAGCTCTTTCTCTCTCTCACTTAGCTAGCTTTAGTACTTCTTCCAATACTTTTCTCAGAAGGGATACATGTGATTGTTTTCTTGCAATATCCAAATGAATGATGCCTTGAAATGCAATTTTCTCTCCCTCTCATTTGCAACCTTGTGATATTATGTTCTAATTTTGCGTTGCAGATAAACAAGTAATGGCATTCTGATTCTCTTTCTTTTCTGAGTAACTTGTTATAAACACCAGCTGGGATAGTTCATCTCTGCCATATGGTCTCTAGCCTTTTCATGACAGCAGAAGAGTTCCCAGCAACAATGGAGAGCAAATGGAGAGCAAATCCCAAAGCATAAGCATTTTTCTATCCTCTGCTAACATCTCCTTTGCTAATGTCCCACAGGCTATAGCAAATCACATGGTCACAGATTACAAGGGAGGAAAACAGACTCTATCTCTTGATGGGAGGAGCTACCAAGTGACATTGCAAAAGGGTGTACATAAATGGAAGGAAAGAATTTATGGTTATTTTTTGTAATATACTATACTGCTTCTCTTTGAAAGGCTGTAAATTTTTTTATATTGATACTTGTTCTTTTTTACTGTTTTAAGATCAACTTATTATTACACAGTCACTCATTCAGAAGCCAGGGAAACATCAGGGCAGCAGAAAGGAAGGTGGGATGGAGTAGGCTCTGTGAAGGACCAAAGACAAACCGCCACAGTTATGAAATTTTGTTTTATTCTAATAAAGACTAATGTATGCCTGATAGCCTAGTGATAATACATGTTTAGCAAGTCACAACATTTTTAGAAAGCATGTATCATTCAAATAAGGGCATGATATAGCTGGAGACTTCAACACCCCACTTTCAGCACTGGAAAGATCTTCCAGACAGAAAATCAACAAACAGCAGACTTAATCTGCACTATAGAACAAATGGATCTAACAGATATTTATAGAATATTTCATCTAAGAGCTATAGAATACACATCCTTTTCCTCAGCATGTGGATCATTCTCAAGGATAGACAATACGCTAGGTCACAAAACAAGCCTTAAAACATTAAAAAAAAAAAAACTTAATAGTATGAAGCATCTCCCCTGACCACAATGGAATAAAACTAGATATTAATAACAAGAGGAATTTTGGAAACTATACAAACACATGGAAATTATACAATATGCTCCTGAATGACCAGTGGACCACTGAGGACATTGAAAAGGAAACTGAAAAATTTCTTGAAACAAATGGTAACAAATGATGATAATATCCCCTAACCTACGGGACACAGCAAAAGCAGTACTAAGAGGGAATTTATAGCTATAAGTGCCTACATCAAGAGAGGAAAAATCTTAAATGAACAATCTAATGATGTATCTTCAAGAACTAGAAAAGCAAGAGCAAATCAAATCCAAAATTAGTAGGAGAAATAATAAAGATCAAAGAAAAAATAAAACTGAAATGAAAAAAATACAAAAGATCAATGAAACAAAAAGTTGGGTTTTTGAAAAGTTAAAACAAAATGAACAAACCTTTAATTAGACTAAGAAAAAGAGAGAGAAGATCCAAATAAATAAAATCAGAAATGAAAAAGGAGATACTACAACTGATAATACAGAAATTCAAAGGATCATTAATGGTTACTATGAGCAACTATTACTATATGCCTATAAATTGGAAAATTTAGAAGGAAATGAACAAATTTCTAGATACATACAACCTACCAAGATTGAATCAGGAAGTAATACAAAACGTGAACATATCAATAACAAGGAATGAGGTTGAAGCTATAATAAAAAGTCTCCCAGTAAAAAAAAGCCTGGGACCTGATGGCTTCACTGATGAATTCTACCAAATATTTAAGGAGGAACTAACACCAATCCTACTCAAACTATTCAACAACAACAACAACAAAAAATAACAGAGGAGGGGGCAATACTTCCAAACTCATTTGATGAGGCCAGCATTACCCTCATACCAAAACCAGACAAAGACACATCAAAAAAAAAAAAAAGAAAACTACAGGCACCAATATCTCTGATGAACATTGATGCAAAAATCCTCAACAAAATATTAGCAAACCAAATTCAACAACACATTAAAAATATAATTCATCATGACCACGTGGGATTTATCCCTGGAATGCAAATGATGGTTCAACATACACGAATCAATGTGATACAGCATATCAATAAAATGAAGGATAAAAACCATATGAAAATTTCAGTCAATGCTGAAAAAGCATTTAAAAAAATTCAACATCCTTTCATGACAAAAACCCTAAAAAAAAAACTGGGGATAGAAGGAACATACCTCAACATAATAAAAGCCATATACAACAGACCCACAGCTAGTATCATATTAAATGAGGAAAAACTGAAAGCCTGTCCTCTAAGATCCGGAACACAACCAGGATGTTCACTTTCACCACTGTTACTCGACGTAGTACTGGAAGTCCTAGCTAGAGCAATCAGACAAGAGAATGATATGAGGGGCAGCCAAACCGGAAAGGAAGAAATAAAATTATCCTTGTTTGTAGACAATATGATCTTATATTTGGAGAAACTGAAAGAATCCACAAGAAAAGTATTAGAATGGATAAATTCAGTAAAGTTGCAGGATACAAAATCAACATACAAAAATTAGTAGCATTACTATATACCAACAGTGAACAATGTGAAAAAGAAATAAGAGGGCCGGTCGTGGTGGCTCATGCCTGTAATCCCAGCACTTTGGGAGGCCGAGGCGGGCGGATCACCTGAGGTCAGGAGTTTGAGAACAGCCTGGCCAACGTGGCGAAAATCTGTTTCTACTAAAAATACAAAAAAATTAGTCGGGTGTGGTGGAATGCACCTGTAGTCCCAACTACTTGGGAGGCTGAAGTGGGAGAATCGCTTGAACCCAGGAGGTGGAGACCGCAGTGAGCCAAGGTTGTGCCACTGCATTCCAGCTTGGGTGACAGAGAGAAACTCTGTCTCAAAATAAATAAATAAATAAATAAAATAAAATAAATAAAATAAAATAAGTAGCCCCATTTACAATAGCCACACATACAATTAAATAACTAGGAATTAACCAGAGAAGTGAAAGATCTTTATAATGAAAACTATAAAACACTGATAAAAGAAATTGAAGAAGACACCAAAAAGTGGGAAAATAGTCCATGTTTATGGATTGGAAGAATTAACATTGCTAAAATGTCCATACTTCCCATAGCAATCTATAGATTCAATGTAATCCCTATCGAAATACCAATGGCATTCTTCACAGAAGTAGAAAAAAAATCCTAAAATTTATATGGTACCACAAAAGACCCAGAATAGCCAAAGCTACACTAAGCAAAAAGAATGAAACTGGAGAAATCACATTACCCAACTTCATATTATACCACACAGCTATAGTAACCGAAACAGCATGTACTGGCATAAAAACAGACACACAGACCAATGGAACAGAATAGAGAACTCAGAAACAAATCAACACACTGACAGTGAACTCATTTTCAACAAAGGTGCCAGGAATACACACTGGGGAAAAGACAGTCTCTTCAATAAGTGGTGCTGGGAAAACTGGATATCCATATGCAGAAGAATGAAACTAGACCCCTATCTCTCATCATATGCAAAAATCAAATCAAAACAAATTAAAGACTTAAATCTAAGACCTCAAGCTATAAAATGACAACAAGAAAACACTGGGGACAAATCCCCAGTACACTGGTCTGGGCAAAGATTTCTTGAGCAATACCCCATAAGCATAGGCAACCAAAACAAAGATGGATAAATAGAGTCACGTCAAGTTAAAAAGCTTCTGCACAGCAAAGGATACAATCAACAAAGTGAAGAGACAACCTATAGAACGGGAGAAAATATCTGCAAACTACTCATCTGACAAAGGATTAATAACCAGAATACATAAGGAGCTCTATAGGAAAAAAATCAAACAAAGCCAATGAAAAAATGGGCAAAAGATTTGAATAGATATTTCTCAAAGACATACAAACGGCAAACAGACTTACGAAAAGGTATTCAACATCTTTGATCATCAGAAAAATGCAAATCAAAACTATAATGAGTTATCATCTCGCCCAGTTAAAATGGCTTATATCCAAAAGATAGTTAATAACAAATGATGGCAAGGATGTGGAGAAAAGGGAACCCTCGTACACTGTTGGCGGGAATGTAAATTAGTACAACCACTATGGAGAATAGCTTGGAGATTTCTCAAAAAACTAAAAATTGAGCTAACATGTGATCCAGCAATCCCACTTCTGGGTATATACCCAAAAGAAAGGAAATCAGTATATCAAAGAGATATCTGCATTCTTATGTTTGCTGCAGCGTTGTCTACAATAGCAAGATTTGGAAGCAACGTAAGTGTCCATTCAACAGATGAATGGATAAAGAAACTATGGTATATATACACAATGGAGTACTACTCAGCCATAAAAAAGAATGAGATCTAGTCATTTGCAACAGCATGGATGGAACCAGAGATAATTATGTTAAGTGAAATAAGCCAGGCACAGAAAGACAAACATCACATATTCTCATTTATTTGTGAGATCTAAAAATCAAAACAGTTGAACTCATGGACATAGAGAGTAGAGAGATGGTTACCAGAGGCCTGGAATGGTAGTTGGGAGAATGAGGGGAGGATTAATGGGTAACAAAAAAATAAAAAAATAAAAAAATAAGACCTATTATTTGATAGCACAACAGGGTGACTATAGTTAATACTTAATTGTACACTTTAAAATAACTTAGAGTGTAATTGGATTGTTTGTTACTCAAAGGATAAATCCTTGAGGGGATGGATACCCCATTCCCCATGATGTGCTTATCTCACATTGCATGCCTGTATCAAAACATTTTATATACTCTAGAAATATACCATGTACCCACAAAAATAAAAACACAAACACACAAAAAATAGGCATTAAAGAAAGTTTTATAAAGAATGAAATGTCTACTATAATCCTCTTTAAAAGCCTTGATTCATTTTCAAAGATCAACAATAATTTTTTTTCAATCAAAAGAAAAGGAAAATAAGGTTTTTTCCACCAAAATACACAAGAACCATTTATTGGCATTTTTGTTTCAAGTTCCTGGGGAAAAAAAGCCAAATTTTCAAAGGCAGTTAATAACAGCTATACAAGGGCTTGTTTCATTTGATTTAGCATCAAGTAAAAGTAAATATGCCATGGAAGACAGTCGAGTTTTATCTCCACCTCTCATATTGGCCTGCTTCTCCTACCAAGTCACAGTACATAAGCATGCATCCTTGTTGCCCCACTAAGGAATCTAAAATGATTCAAATTTTTAAACGGTTGCTCAGATGACATTCACCAGCAGAATTCTTTCCCCTTAAGATAGGGTGGCAGTGAACACTACCAGGTATCAATGTCATCAGAAATAAATAACTCTTTCAGGAAAGTCACGTTCCTGATCCCTGTTAACCATTATGTAAATTCTTTTTGTTGCTATACCTGTTTACTAATCATGTTTGTTACTTATGCAAAGGGAATACTCCCCAGACTTGCCTGATCTATTATTTCTATTTCCTAACAACAAAGTATGTTCACTTTACATAGTGTCATAGGTTTACTCTTTTTTTTTTTTTTTTTTTTTTTTTTTTTTTTGAGACGGAGTCTCGCTCTGTTGCCCAGGCTGGAGTGCAGTGGCCGGATCTCAGCTCACTGCAAGCTCCGCCTCCCGGGTTTATGCCATTCTCCTGCGTCAGCCTCCCAAGTAGCTGGGACTACAGCCGCCCACCACCTCACCCAGCTAGTTTTTTTTTTGTATTTTTTAGTAGAGACGGGGTTAGCCAGGATGGTCACCGTGTTAGCCAGGATGGTCTTGATCTCCTGACCTCGTGATCCGCCCGTCTTGGCCTCCCAAAGTGCTGGGATTACAGGTTTGAGCCACTGCGCCAGGCCAAGTTTACCCTTAATCTTTTTTCTTTTTCTTGGTACCAGATGTTGTTATTCAAGGCAGATCATGTTTGATCGAAAAGAAACTGGCAAGTAGATCTTAAAACATACATTACTAAACCTGAGTAACAGATGAAAAAATAAGTCTTTAAATTACATTTTCCATTGAAAATTCATTCCACTGTGGTGCAAGAACTTATCCAAGAACTTACAATGTCAATTTCTGACATAAATCATATCCCTCAGCACATATGTATTTTCAAAAGAAAACAAGTCATCTTAAAGTAATATATTCCCATATGCTAATTGATAATTGTATAGCAAATTGAAAATTCTGAGTAAACTGAAGATACGTTTAACAACAAAATAAATATAGCAATATGGTTAGCTTATAAATGTCTTGGTGTAAAGGCAGCAGTGAATTTGCATCTTGCAACAGATCTCTAAATCCAGTTGCTGGTTTTCTGGAATTTTATAGACATGATGTCTCACAAATCCATGTTCCACAGGGCTAGAAATATCTCTATGCAAAAACTTTTGAGATATTTTCCCCAAATGACATGTAACTTTTAAAAACTTTTCCAGAAAAATATGAAAATTTTATCAACCACTTACTCTTACTGAAGAAAAAAGACTACTAATTGCTCTTTTAATTTTGCTCTAACAGATGTTTTAAAAGTTTAGACACTGCTGATGTTTTTGAATTGCACACTGCTAGAAGATAACTAGATAAAACACATTACATGATTTCAAAAGATGAATCAGTACCTGATTCATTTGGCACATCATTAGTATCCAGAATAAAATCTGTAGAAATAATATAATTTTCAAAGAATTTATACATGCATACATTCTTATACATGCATACATTCTTATTTATATATCCTCCATTCTTAGGAAAAGGAGCTTCTAAATCCAAGGATAAGGAGGTTCTGCTCATCTTACTAGTTATAATCATTTCTCCTCATGGAGTAACTGGGGCTTTCTGATTTATTTGTGGAACTTTAGTTTGTAGGAAAGCATAAACATAGTGTTAAATCTTGTTGGATTCTGCTCTGGAGAGTGTTTCCAACATCCTTTTTTTCTGGTAAATTCTGGGACTGGCTCCATAAATTTTCAGTCTCTTGATAACTGTGTCTCTGGTCCATCATCCTCAGGCTGAATGAGAGGCCTCCCAGTCAGATCAGCAATGCCCACAGTTTGGGGAGGGTTGAATTCAATGTAGCAGACTCCGCCACTGGCTGGCTGAATAGCAGGCAGTGAAGTGTTGTTTAAATGCCCTCAAAGGGCACATACGAGTTAATCATTGTGTCTATCTGATAAGCTCATCTAGGGCTTCTGCCTATGGCAGTGTCCTTGGACAACCAGCTACATTAGGTGAGATTTTTCAGTTCGTGAAGGGCCTCAGCCGAGTCGTAACATCATTTGGAATGAGTTTCCCTTGGTCAAGAAAAGCCTTGGCTAACATACCAATTTCTGTGCCCTGTAGCATGTTGTCCTGGAGCAGTCCCTGCTGGAGAGGTGCCTCAGCTTGAAGTGTTTGGTGATGTACAACAGCACGGCACCCTTGCCTAAGCCCAGGGCTGGGGTCCCCATGATCACTGCATGCAGTAGCTGTGGAGATGCCCCTGCAACCATGGACAGAGGCCCAAGCCATGCCAACCGTAGGGTTTTGGTCTGACCTGTGCACTCACCTGATCCACAGCCAAGGTCCCAGATGGCAGAAAGCACTTTTTTTTTTTTTTTGGTTCAAGTTAACCAGCGCTTTCCTTTTTCTCTATAAAATGTGCTGGCTTGGAAACAATTCAAGCATTCACCAATCATTAAATGGATAAACATATTTTGGTATATCCATGCAATGGAATATTATTTAGCCATAAAAAGAAAGGAAGTACTGATAAATGCTACAATATGGATGAACCCTAAAAACACTGTGCTCAAAGAGGCCAGACACAAAGGGCCATCTTTGGTATGATTCAGTTTATATGAAACACTCAGAATAGGCAAATTTATAGGGGCAGAAAGCAGATTCATGGTTGCCAGAGCTGCCAGAGGAAGAATGGGGAGTGACTGCTAACGGTTGCGGGAGTTTCTTTTGGGACCTGCTAGCCGTAGGGTCACTTTTTTTTTTTATTGTAGTAAAATACACATAAAACTTACCGTGACATTTACTACATTCACAATGTTGTACCACAGTCACCACTATCTAGTTCCAGAATACTTTTATCACCCCAAATGTAAGCTCTTTTTTGATCTCTGAAGGTGAAAAATATCACTAGAATATATCTGAGGGAGGAATATCTTAGTTCATTGATCAGGTTTAGCACTCAGTATAACTTAGTCCGAGAGATTTTTCTTTTTTTTTTTTTTTAAACCCAAAGAAGTTGTCGTCTTATTCGATTATTGCTTTCTCCATCTGTTCCTTCTGGAACTCCTACCTCACACTGCAGTTCCTGTATTTTCCTTTCCTTTCTTTTATCTTCTCACTAGTGGCTTCCTTTGCATTTTTGTTTTGCATCATGAGGCAACTTGCTGTTTGATCTTCTTCGGGTTGATTTTTAAGAGTATCCATTCCATTTTTCAATACAATTGAATGTCAAAAAACTGTAAAACCATATTTTTACATATCACGTTTTTAAGTTCGCTTCTTTTTCTTTTTTTTTTCTTGAGACAGAGTCTCACTCTGTAGTCCAGGCTAGAGTGCAGTGGTGCAATCTCGGCTCATTCACTACAACCTCCGCCTCCCAGTTCAAGTGGTTTTTCCCGCCTCAGCCTCCGGAGTGGCTTGGACTATAGGCGCGCCATCACCACTATTTCTTACATTAAATTTGCCTTACAGGAGCCATTCATTTTGGCTGTTTAGCTTGGTTTTCTGTTCCTCAAACTACTGGGTTTCTCTCTCTCTCTCTTTTTTTTTTTTTTTTTTGAGACAGGGTCTCACTCTGTCATGCAGCTGGAGTGCAGTGGCATGATTTTGGCTCACTGCAACCTCCGCCTCTTGGTTCAAACGATTTTCCCGCCTCAGCCTCCGGAGCAGCTGGGACTACAGGTGTGTGCCACCACGCCTGCGCTCGGCTAATTTTTGTATTTTTTTGGTAGAGATGGGATTTCACCGTGTTGGCCAGGCTGATACTGGGTTTAATTTTTTATATGATCTTTGCCCGATTCCATCAGCTGCCACCGGTCCCTTTAGCATTTGTGGAAGCCCGATTGTTGGCCACTTTCTGGGCAGCAGAGAATTGACAGGTGGTGAAAACTATGATAGGAATTCTCCAATCAGCTGACATTGAGAGCCATGCTCAGAGCTAAACAGAAAGCAAGCAGAAGCAGTTTCACCAGTTACTGGGCTATGGCAGTTGGCTCACCTGGCTGGGCCACTGTCTTTGCTACAAGCTTAGCCAGGATTCAGGCTACTTTCTAGGTTGCTGGGCTGTCCTTCCTCCCAGCTTTGTGAACAATGAGGATAGAAGGTATCCAGAGGCAAAACTGAGGGTATCCTCAGAAGCCCAAAGCCTAAGATGTGCTTAGCACAGACTAACTCCAAGTTTCACACTATGCTTTGCACCACCACATCTACTACCTACCTATATTTCAGCCATTCTTCTTTGTAGTTGAATCACCCCAGGAGGAAATTTAGAGTGCAAGAGAGTTATAGAAACATACACAAGCCATCATCTTCGAAAAACTTAATTAAGGTAATTCTCTTTTTATAGTACATTGTCTGAAGATAATTATTTATATAATGGAAGTAAGCTGAAATCTTAGGAATATAAATCTTATTGATGAGTGAAGCCCCAACTATGGCCCAAAGAGATGGAAGAACTCATGCCAGAGTGTCTCTGCTGTATACCTAGGATTAGAGATTGGCCTTTTATTTCCTAACATGGGGATCTTTTCAATACATAGACCCATGGCTACCTTTTAAAAATTCCATCAATATATTCACCTGCATAGCTGTTTCTCTTCCTGCTCCATCTAGTCCAATTCCTTTTCTGGATATTAGACTAAGTCTCATTTTTACTCCCTTCACCTGGCTTTTACTCCCTCCTGAAATTTATTCTGCTTCTTTCCTACCTGCCTTCCAAGATCTCTCTCTCTGTGCTCACAGTGAGGGGGTATGCAGGAAGGAGTACTAAAGTGTCCAGAAGGAGGAAAGCCTAGAAAAAGTAGAGACAGAGGAGGCTTGCCAAAATTCTGAAGCATCTCCAGGAGCCCTTTGCCTCAGTCTTTGAGTTCTTGTCATTAGCACTCCTCTTCTTTTCCCCTGGGTCAAATACCTTAGCACTGACTTGAATCTCTGACCCCTCTTTATACTTTCCTTCATTCTACTTTTCTTTCCTCCCTGCTTTCCTAGCACTCCTATCCCAGCGCTCTTCCCTTTCTTTAAAGCTTCTGAATCACAGCAAGGGAAGGAAAATGGAATTAGAGTAGTCCCTCTTATCCATGGTTTTGCTTTCTGTCATTCAAAAACATTAAATGGAAAATTCCAGAAATAAACAATTCATACGTTTGAAATTGTATGCTGTTCTGAGTTGTGTGATGAAATCTCACATCACCCTGCTCCATCCTGCCTGGGACAGAAATCATCCCTTTGACCAGCATATCCATGCTGTTTAACCTACCTGCCTGTCTGTCACTTAAGTAAAAGTCCTGGTTATGAAGTGGACTACCCTAGTACTGCAGTGCTCTGTTCAAGTAACCCTTATTTTACTTAATAATGGCCCCAAAATATAAGAGTAGTGATGCTGGCATATTGTTAAAGTTGTTCTATTTTACTATTGTTAATTTTTTACTGTCTAGTTTAGAAATTAAACATCATAGGCATGTATGTATCATAGAAAAAAACACAGTATATATAGGATTCAGTACTATCTGCAGTTTCAGGCATTCACTGGGGGTCTTGGAACGTATCCTGCAGATAAGGGTGGGCTACTGCACAAACATCTGGACGTTCATTCATGTGCCACTAAGGATCATCACACAGCCAAAAGCATACCACACTCTGGAAGGCTCTGATCAACTTTTTGTGCTTCTCCTATCACAAAATAGAAAATACTTTATTAATAGCTTCAAAATGAATGGCTATAGCAGTCCCTCAGTTAGTATCTTAATTTATAGACTAAGGTTATATTTTCTAGTATAAAACACCATTTTGACAACGTGGGGAGGCAGCAAGGTGTAGTAGCTAAGAATTAGATTACTTGAGTTCCAATGCCAGCTCCTTCATATACTAGCTATGTGACCTCAGGCAAGTTACCTAACTATAAGTTGCCTTATCTGTGACAGACTTTAGCATATCATAAGTGCTTAAATAAAAGGAAACATTCATAATCATGTTACTATCACCACATGCAATCCTTATTCCTTGTCCTCGATCCATGAAAAACCATTATAAATGCCATTTTTAGAAAATGTTGATATAATATTTAATAAGCTTGCTGCTGCCCAGGCTAATATGCATCGCTCTAAGCCCCTCTTAAATTTTATTACTAGAAAATGTTCTAGTGGACAATGTCTTTAAGGTTGAATGAGGATACTTATAATCAGCCTTTTAAAAAAATTAAATTACAAATTGAGGATAAAACAAACAAAAAAAACACAACAGGAATCTGGTATTTCTTACCAAGGCAATTTGAAGCATCAACTTGTTCTTTCAAAAAATCAACACACATTTTCTTCACAGGTTCAATCTGATATTGGTTTGCTGCATCCAACAAAGACTGAACATTGTTGCTATTCACGGAAATTCTGCAAATAAGTTAGAGGGAATATTAGTTACCCATGATTTTTTATTATTTAAATGTTACTATAGAATGTATCCTAATAGCCCTTGAAATTAAACACAAAATTAAACTTTCAGTCCTTGAATCAGTATGGCATAGGATACTCAAACTCTTCTATCCTTGCAGTTTTTCATTTTGAAGAATTTGTAGTGCAACCATTTGTTACAACAATGCTTTGCCATGGCAGATACCAACATTACTTCTCTAAAATAAAAATAATCCTTCTTAACTCACCTAGCAGTATAAGCAAATTCCACAAGTTGTTCAATAATATCAGGTTCAGCATCTTTGAGTTCTACTTCAAAGGACTTTGATTCAAGCATGTTAGCTACAATGAAGAGAAGAAACATAAATGGCATCTGTAATACCACAAGTTTGACTGAGGAACCATGGCATTCCAGGGCTTGTTAAATATGGAGAAAAATAACAGGACAGTTCTCTCTGGAAGAAAATACCCCAGCAAGCCCAACATTCCTATAGTAAATGCAAATTAATTCTCCACACAAGATGTGCCTTAAATTAAGCTAAGAAAACAGTGAATTAGTATACTTTTTTTTAATTTAAAGACCATATTAACAGAAACATAAAACTAGATTTTGTTTTCTTCCCAAGCTCATAAAATAGTACTAAGTAGAGGAAGGAGGACTTGGACCCAGCTCTCAACACCAAATCCAGGGTTCTTTCTAGCACAATATGCTATATCTATTTTTTTTTTAAGTTTAACTTGCCAGCTAAAATACTATGAAATTTATCTGCTTCTTTGTCTTTCCACCTGAGGTTAAAAAGAAAGTGCTGGGCTTTTTTTTTGAGACAGAGTCTCGCTCTGGCGCCCAGGTTAGAGCGCAGTGGCGCAATCTCAGCTCACTGCAACCTCCACCTCAACCCTGGGCTTTTAAGTTGACGCTATACCTCCATCTATAAAGGCATCAGGCCTTTATGTCTAATGAAAGGACATTTTTTTCTTTGGTTATCAGCTGACTACTTTTTCAGTCTCTTCACTGTTCTGTGGCCTTAAGTTCCTAACTGCTTTAAAAATTAGAAAAATGACATATTCTCTTTTAGATTTTACTTCATTCTCATAGAAGAAATAATGGCATGTTTTACCTTAAGATACTTACTTGTGAACATTAAGTTAAAAAAATGACTGGCTGCAGCAAGAACAACACGATGAGCAGGTATCTTTCTTTCCTGGACCATGAGGATCACATCACACAACGTTTTCTAATCAAAGAAAAAATACATAAAATAAAAAGAGGCTCACTAGCCTAGCTTGGCAATACATATTAAAAAGGTGCTTGCCAAATGCTTTATCTCTATTTTCTATTTAAAGCCAATCTTTTTTCAGCACAGAATTTCTTTTGAAGACATGTTTAGGAAGGACTTACAGAGTTGCTGCCATGTAGTGTGAAAATTTTGCACTGAGTTGTCCAACAGTCAAGAGGAAAGAAAACGTTCCTCATAATCAGAAACAAGTCTACTAACCCTTCTGAGAAGTCTTTTTTTTTTTTTTTTTCTGACACAGATTCTAAGACATTTCTCATGGTAAGCTTTTCTGGGGGAAATTAAATGACATCATGGCAGTGCCCCTGATAGTTTTTCAAACACAGCAGTTAGTTTTTATATGATTTGTTTTCCATTATTTATCCTTGGTGAAATCGAGAACACACACTGCATTTCCTAAGAAAGTAGCATTCACAGATCTAACTTGAAACAGAAACAGCTCAGAATACAGAGAGGAGATGAACTAAATGTCCTTTCAGCAATCTTTTCTTAAATAACACTTCTCTCAAATGTACTTCTGATAAAAGCTGGATAGCAGCCAGTTTTAAATTGTGATTTCTGACCAAGGTCAAAATAGTATCACTATAAGCTGCTTAAAGAAGGCAGCTCTGAGTAAATACTTAATTAAAATGTGGGGAAAATGGAATAATAAAGAAAAAAAATTAAGGCTTACTCAAACACTTATAAATGAATATCAAGAAAAATAAATGTCCTTTTTGCCAAATCCAATCTTAATTTCTTAACGAAGTTAAAGATAAAATATAGAGGTTAGGCTTGCAGAAAACTTGGTGCATACAATGTGTTAAACACTGTCCTAGGCACTGGGAATATGAGGCAAATAACATATTCAGAGTAAAAAAAAATATCGCTTACAAATCTAAGATTGGCTTCATAGCTCAGAGGATTTGCATTTTGCAAATTTTAAGTATTTTACTAAAACTGTTAATATAGTTTCTGATAGATAAATCCCTGTTATTTCTTACTGTATTATTTTGTGAAGATAAATCAAAATAAAAAATAATGATGTTTATAATGAGAGAGAAAATAAGCCTCAAATAGCAGGCTAGGAAATGAACAAAATTTCACTTTTACCACTTATTTGAAGATTTTCAAATAAGGCCTACTACTGACTATTGCTAAAAACTTATATACAGGTTAATAGCTAAAGCTATTTTTATTCTCATAGTGTCTTGAAGTTTTAAATTTTATTTCTTTTCATTTGCGGAGGGGATACAGAGGCAGATCTCTTAGGTGATTTTGCTATATACTACACCAAAAAATACCAAGTAGCAGAACCAAGTTAACTATTTGGTTACCACCAAAAAACAAGTGATCAATTTGCCTTGGAGGTCGAGGGAGGGAGAGAAGGAGAGGGAGAAAGGGGTGGGGAGTGAAGACTAAAGATGATAAAGCATCAAGCAAATCAGATTACATCAGATCATCGGAGAGAAATCTATGGCTAGTGATGGAACTTCTGTGAAACATAGGGTTAAACCAAAATACAGCAAAAACATCTCCAAGGCATACTCAACAACAGAGTTTAAAAGTAGAATGACTTTCTAGGCACTGAAGGAGGCTGAAGAAATGTAGAACTTTGTAGAGCAACTGAGTTTTAGTCTAAGATTAATGGCCAGCTGGATATTAATGGTTTGAGGGGTGGGGAGAATAAGTCAGAAGAGTCTTTTGTATCCAAGTGGTACATTTATTTGCCTGTACAACAGACTGATAATTTCCAATAAGAGATGGGATTGCTGGGCGCAGTGGCTCATGCCTGTAATCCCAGCACCTTGGGAGGCTGAGGCAGGTGGATCACAAGGTCAGGAGATCGAGACCATCCTGGCTAACACAGTGAAATCCCGCCTCTACTAAAAATACAAAAAATTAGCCGGGCATGGTGGTGGGCGCCTGTAGTCCCAGCTACTCAGGAGACTGAGGTAGGAGAATGGCGTGAACCCAGGAGGTGGAGCTTGCATTGAGCAGAGATCAAGCCACTGCACTCCAGCCTGGGTGACAGAGTGAGACTCTGTCTCAAAAAAAAAAAAAAAAAAAGAGATGGGACTGACCTATAGTGAAAGGCCCCTCCTGTTATCAATAAGCAAAAGAAAGGTATATCCACAGACAAGAAATGGGAGCTGGGTGCGGTTGCTCACACCTGCAATCCTAGCATTTTGGGAGGCCAAGGCAGGTGGATTGCTTGAGCCTAGGAATTCGAGACCAGCCTGGGCAACATGATGAAACTCTATCTCTCTTAAAAAAAAAAAAAACAACAAAAATTAGCCAGGCATAGTGGTGTGTGCCTATAGTCCCAGTGACTGGGGGTGGGGGTGGTGCTGAGGTAAGAGGATCACTTGAGCCCCAGAGGTGGAGGTTGCAGTGAGTTGTGATTGCATCACTGTACTCCAGTGATATTATAACAAAGAGACATCTGCACCCCCATGTTTACTGCAGCACTATGCACAACAGCCAAGATATAGACTCAACCTAGGTGTCCAATGATAGATGAATTGATAAAGAAAATGTGGCATATATGCACCATGGAATACTATTCAGCCATAGCAAAGAATGAAATCCTGTCTTTCATGGCAATGTGGATGGAAATGGAAGACATTATGTTAGTTGAAATAAACTAGGAACAGAAAGTTAAATGCTACATGTTCTCACTCATATGTGTAAGCTAAAAAGGTTGATCTTATCCAAGTAAAAAGCAGAAAAGAAGATACTAGAGGCTGGAAAGGGTAGAGGGAAGGCGGTGGGGGAAAGGAGGGATAGAGAGGTTTGTTAAAGGACATAAAATTACAGTTAGATGGGAGGAAAAAGTTTTAGTATTTATATCACTGTTGGATGACTATAGTTAACAGTAATAGATTCAGGCTGGGAGCAGTGGGTTACACCTGTAATCCCAGCACTTTGGTAGGCTAAGGCAGAATTGCTTGAAGCCAGGAGCTCAAGGCCAGCCTAGGCAACATAGTGAGACCCTGACTCTACTAAAAATAAAAAATTAGCCAGGTATGGTGGCACATGTCTGTAGTCCCAGCTACTTGGGAGGTTGAAATGGGAGGATCACTTGAGCCCAGTAGTTTGAGGTTGCACTGAGCATGATCATGCCACTGCACTCCAGCCTGGGTGACAGAGCAAGACCCTGTCTCTAATAAAATAATAATAAATCAACAGCAGACATCACATGTAACGGTGAAACATCAGACATGTTCTCATTTCAATCTTGAAACAAGGTATATGGGGCTGGGTGTGGTGACTCATGCCTGTAATCCCAAACACTTTGAGAGGCTGAGGTGGGAAGATGGCTTGACCTCAGGAGTTCAAGGTCAGCCTGGGCAACATGGTAAAACCCATCTCTACCAAAAATACAAAAACGTAGCCAGGTGTGGTGGCACGCATTTGTGGTCCCAGCTACTTGGGAGGCAGAGGTGGGAGGATCGCTTGAGCCCAGGGGCGAAAGGCTTCCATGAGCTGAGATTGTGCCATGGCACTCCAGCCTGGGTGAGAGAGTGAGACTCAGTCAAAAATAAAATAAAATAAATAAAATAATAATAAAATAAAACAAACTATGTACACAAATCCTTGTCATTACTATTATTCAACCTTGCTCTGGAAATCTTAGCCAAATTAGTAAGAAGATAAAGATAAATCAATTTACACTTACAGAAATAACAAGAAAAGTCAGTAAAATGGCCAGACACAAATAAGATAAATATGGAAATGCAATTAACTATCTTGTATGAGAAATAAGCCGTAAAGAAACACAAATGAGAAAAAAATCCCAAGGCATAGAAGCAACAAAATAATTAAATATTGAGAAACAAAAAAAATGTGAGGGATCTTCATTAAGTGGCAATTTGATATATGATAAAGATACCATTTCAAAAATGTAGTGGGAAGGTGGAGAACAGGACATGTTTAGGGCAGTGAAACTATTCTGTAGGATCTTGTAATGATGGATATGTGTCATTATACGTTTGTCAAAACCTGTAACATGTACAACACAGAGTGAACCCTAATGTAAACTATGAATGTTAATAATATGTAACAACATTGGGGGTTGGGCACAGTGGCTCACCCCTGTAATCCCAGCACTTTGGGAGGCCGAGACGGATGGATCACTTGAGGCCAGGAGTTCGAGACCAGCCTGGCCAACATGGCGAAACCCTGTCTCTACTAAAAATACAAAAACTAGCTGGACATGGTGGTGCCCGCCTCAATCCCAGCTACTCAGGAGGCTGAGGCATGAGAATCACTTGAAACCAGGAGGCAGAGGTTGCAGTGAGCAGAGATCTTGCCACTACATTCCAGCCTAGACAACAGAGTGAGATTCTGTCTCAAAAAAAAAAAAAAAGTAACAATATTGACTCATCAATTGTAACAAACATACCACATGAATGCAATATGTTAATGATAAGGGTAACTGTGTGTAGAGGAGGTGGTGAGGGAATAAATGTAAATACTGCACTTTCTGCTCAATTTTTCTTTTTCTTTTTTGTGACAGGGTCTTGCTCTATCATCCAAGCTGGAGTGCAGCGATGCAATCTCGGCTTACTGCAGCCTCGAACTCCTGGGCTCAAGTGATCCTCCCACCCCTCCTCCCAAGTAGCTGGGACCACAGGCATGTGCCACCATGCCTGGCTAATTTTTTATCTTTTGTAGAGACGAGGTCTCACTGTGTTGCCCAGGCTGGTTTCCAACTCCCAGATTAAAGCGATCTCACTACCTTGGCCTCTCAAAGTATAGTGATTACAGGTACGAGCTACCTCACCTGGCTCAAATTTTCTATGAAGTTAAAACTGCTCTTAAAAAAAAAAGTCTATTAAATAATGTGGTAAGAGATCAGATAATCAAAATTGATATTGAGATAACTTAATCATTTAGGGAACCATTAGACTCCTCACTCATAATATACTCCCTCTTCCCCTGGGAAGGTAAGTACT